ATCCCTCTCTTCATTCTTTCCTTCTTCACTTCATCGCTCCCTCCACTCCTCTCTCTCTTTTTTCCTCTCTTCCTTTCTCCTTTTACTTCTGCTTGCTATATACTTCATAAACTCAAAATTAAAATTGTAGGTAGCATTCTGCACATCTTATAGTTGGTACAGTGTTTGCTACATCAGTATGAGGAACATCATTTAAAGGCTAAGTTAGTAATGAACTTGTAGTCTCAGCACTGGAGAAATTAGGATTCTCAGTGCTTGTAGTCTGGCCGTCTATCAGAATTGATGAATGTTAAGTTTAGTGAGAGATTCTAATTCAAAAATTAAAGTGGATAGTGCTTAATATAGACACTGCACACACACATAGATATGCATAAACATAAAAGTACACACAAGTACACACACACACACACACACACACACACACACCTGAACATGCTTCTGAAAATATATACACATACACAAATAACGTTTAAAGGATTGCTTCAGTTTCCTTGAAAATACTAGTGCTGTTCCATGTTAAAACTGTTTCATGATTCTTAAAGTTTGTCAGTGTTGGAATGGGGCTATTGAATCCAGTCTGGTGAAATGACAGCACAGATCTCAGTGCACCTTTGAATCTGGATATGGACTTCTGTTTTGCTTTCTTGCTTTCCAAGATATAATCTACAATACATGTCAGGCCATAATGTTTAAGTTGGTTTGTCCTGAGTAAGTTCTAGGAAAGAGCTGCACTGTTAATATTTAGCATGTGCTTACTTTCATTTCTTTACATATTTTTGATCATGTATTTCTGAACTCAAATAACTTTCCTTGAATTAATACTTTCTTTAGTACATTCATGTATAAAAGTACATTGAAACTTCATTTATTGTAGTCTGCCCCATTCTTTAATGGTCTTCAAATCCCAAGTGTCACTGATATATCTGCATAAGTCAGTGAAAGTCCACAGTCTAGAAAAGCCAGAGAAGTGGACAAGGGCATGACCATATTCTAGCTAAAAAGGGGGGCTATCAGAAATTAATTTTGGAATTGTGAGGATGTGAACTATATGTGAATATGACAGGTCTCCTACTTAATACAGGTTTTCTTTTGAGAAACTCAATACAAAAATTTAATATTGACTTTGAGAATTATTCCAGTTTATTAATTATATCTATTGTTAGTTCTGGAGTAAGTTATGAATCAAGCATTATTCCTGTTGTTGGCTTACATGTACATATTTGATTGTCTATAAATTGGGATTATTGATTCTTTTTTAATTTTTTTTGCAATTTCTCTCTCACCTTAAAAACAAAAAATATAAATCCAATAGAATTTCAAGCTAAAATAAATAACACCAAACAATAAGTGATTTTTTTAGGAATACACTCCTCTCCTTACTCCTTTCACCTTAGCTCCTCCTATAACATACATCATCAGTAATATTCCTTTATGTTAGAAATATTGTATCATTTTGCTTTCATTTTCCATTATTTTTTGATCATGTTGGAGAATTGGTAATTTCATACTAAAAAAGAACTAAATTTTGTTTTCTAGTTGTTTAAGAGGTTATAAATAAGCATGTCCACCACCATTTCATTGAAATACTATTGGTATTCTGAAATTCCATATGATTTCCAGATGCAAGTAAATATTGATTAGTTATGGCAAAAGATATCACATTGGGTAGATCATTGGAACAATTTCGAGAATCATTATACTAGAATACTATAAGTGGTTAAGATGTTTGTCTTTCCAATGATTGCTCTCGAGTAATCTTTGCTTCCTCATGATTAATTGGTGTACAAATATATTTTAGTCCAGTTCTAACAAATAGGATATGAGAAGAAACTGAAAGAAATACAAAAAGAAACTTCTTTGATTCTAAGAGTTAGAAGAAAAGGTATTTTTGTGTCTTGATATCATATTTGCAAACTCTGGATTTATTCTACCAGCAGTCAGGAGACAAAGCCAAAGCATGAGGAAGACTGAAAGAGTCAAAGAGAAATATAACTGCAAGTCAGAAATGCCTATCCTGACTCCAACTCACTTTAAATTATGGCATTTATCGACATTATTACATTGCAAGTAAAATTGCAATAAGTGTTTTTCCCCCACACAAAATAGACAAATGATTGAGTTCAATTTCCTTTGACTTATTATTATTATTATTATTATTTTAATCTTTAATCTTTTTTTACAATTCAATCATTATTCCCCTCCTGTTCTACCTTCTGACTGTTCTTCCTCCCATACTTCCTCTCCCCCACCTCCAAGAGGATGTCCCCACCCCCACACCTTCACTCCAGCAGACCTACTCAACTCTCTGGGGTCTCAAGTCTCTCAAGGTTTAGGTACATCTTCGCTCACTGAGGCCAGACCAGTTATTATTTTTTGAAAATGTCAACAATTCTCCTCTACCTAATACTCTCAGATTCACTTCCATTTCCTATTCAAGTTTTTTTTTTTGTATCCTGTCATTTCTTCCACCTATCAAAAATAATTTTTGTTACCTAGAGATGATTAAATGTGTAGCCTTCTATAAAAGTGTGGCCAGATTTCTAGTGGGAACACTCTTACAGAAAACACACCCTTCTTCTACTAGAAGTTATCAGTTGTGAATAGAACTTAGTTCTTGGTAAGGGTTAGTGCTTGACCTCTTCATGCTGGCAATTTGTTTGGCTCATGTATAGTTTGTGCAGGTTGTCATGTCTACTGTAAATTCATATATGCCACTGTTCTGTGTTATCCAGAGAACATTGTTTTCTTGTTGTCATCAACCACAAAAGTCTTAAAGGGATTAACAAAATAAAATGGTTTGGTCATATAAAGGCAAAGTAATTCAACAAGTAGAAAGAGAGTTAAATAACACTAAATATTGTCTTTAAAAAGAAATGTGAAAGCTTAATACTAAGAAGATTCTTAAAATATATACATTTGCACATATTAAAATATCATAAATTGATCCATCCGATAACAAGATAACATTTTCCCTACAAGATACCACAGACTAACAAAGCCCAGTGCCAGAAATGATTTAACTCTTTTAGAGTTGTTGAACAGTGAAGCCCCACAGACTCCCCCTTCCTGCAATATTATAGGTTATTTCAATCACTCCTGGCTGTTCTCCAGAAATTCATGGTAAAACCATAGTGATGTTGATATCACTTAGTTACATTGTAGAACATGGAGAACTAAAGATGATACTGACCTGGAAGATGCCTCCTCAGTAGTTAACTTTCATGGAAGTTACTATACATGCTAACAGATGAAAATATCATCCACCTTTCCCATCTGAGAACCCTGTGAAATAAGTGTTTTTTAACAATTGATTGTACAATCAAAATTAGACAAAATATCTTACTTTCTTTTAAACATGAGGTAGTACTTAATTTGGTTTGCATAGAATCCTTTATCATAGAGTTTGAAACTATATTTATTATGCATGGGAAACAGGCTTCTCGACAATCAATTCTCTGCTCTATGATATACTTATTCAGCCTTTTACAGAACAAATGGAAAATAGGTGAATCATCTAATTTTAGAACCCATAAATAAAACTATTTTAATATGAATGGGAATATATGACACATGTGACAAGAACAAATATTTTTTTCATGGGAAATTTGTTTAACATCACACACGATCCCCACATCTACACAGGTAATCATATCTCACATGCCAGGAAGCAATATAAATAATTTTGCTAAGAAAATAATAGATTTAAAAAGTAACACTGCTTGGCATTTTTGCTTAGTATAATTCTTAGAAAATTTTTGGATTAATTGAACTACTCTGAATATTTAACAATTTTTAAAGGAAACCTCTACATCCAGCTTTATTCAGAACAATAACATTCCTTATCTTTTGAAGCCCTTTTTATCCTCTTTCTACAACACATTTGTGAGGAGGAGGAGGAGGAGGAGGAGGAGGAGGAGGAGGAGGAGGAGATGCCATGATGGTTTTAAGCTTAGAACATGTTGTTCCTTGGCTATGCTACAGAGGAGAAGATGATAATGGCTTTTCCTATTGCAGCCTCAGTGACGGAAAAAAAATCAAAGCTTGAAATTCACACTCTCAATATCCCTTAGCTTTGTATTGTTCACATTCTACTCTTATTTTTCTGAGTCTTCCTTTTGAATGTACCTGAGATGACTGCAGATTTGACCTTTGCACTCTTTCCAAAGAATAAAGCAACTCCTGCATCATGTGCTTTTGGAGTGTCTGCCTAAACCCGTCTCCATTGGTCACAGGAAAAAAAAAAAAAAAACACTATGGAGTCTTTTTTTTTTTTTAAGAAAAAAAACCCATGTTTTATTTAGTAAAACATTGTGTGGGCAGAGAAATGTGTAAGGTTAGAGGCATGGAGGAAGAGGGTCTACAGCACAGCTGGGACCTTATGTGGGAGGAGTACACAGTAACCTTGGTGATGAGATTCAGGGGCCAAAGGTTGAAAGGCTCAGGGTCGAAAATTCTTTGGCAACTTATCACCTGCTCTTCCAGGACTGGGAAGAAAAGTCTGCCCAGGAGAGGGTGTGTCTATCTTGAGTTGACTCCTGCCACAGCAGGAACTCTTGGGACATGTCATTTTGAGACTCACAAAGGCCAGATTCATATGCAGCCTTAAAACACTTTGCACAGAAGATCCCAGAATGAAGAAAGACTCAGGGACTCAAGTGTCACATCCTTCCCATCAAAGTAGCTAAAAGTGAGAAACACCAGTGGCAGAGAGATAGGTGGGGTGTGGACTCAGGCTGAGGCAGGAAATCTGGAGTTGGAGGTCAGTCAGAGCTCCATAAGGAGAGCCTGTCTCGAAAACAGGTGGAACCAACCCAAAGGGCAGGCTACCACATAGCTCACTGGTGGAGTGCTTACCCAACAAATGCATGGGGCTCCAGGTTCAATACCCAGTATTGCAAAAGAAAAACAAGAAACAAGACAACCCGCAAACTACTCAGCATCATTTCTTGATGGCTCAGCTCAAGTCCCCTGGCTAGCAGAACCTCACTTCCCAGTGAGCATCAGACGTAATTCTTGGTAGGGTATTCGGAGGGTCCTCGAGAATGTGGGACAGATGTAGAATAGCGGGCCATGTAGTGGCCAGGTCCCCGGGGCCCTCCAGAAGAGCAAGCACAACACAACAACCCTCCACCTAACAGCAAAAGGCCTGAGGCTGCCCAGCCCAGGTAGAAGGAGGCCCCCAGCTCCTGCTTCTGAGTGTCAGCCACCAAAGGGTTGTAGAAGTCTTGGATGGTGGCATGGGCAGTCCAGCAGACAGGAATGAGAGTCAGGACCCCGGAGATGACAAAGATGATGCCAGAGACGAGCACCAGACGAGACTTAGAGTTTCTGTCTTCCACACAGGTAGTGCACTTGGCTCCGGCCAAGTACACAAGCAGACCAAACAGGACAATGAGGAGGGTGACAACACAGAGGGCTCTGGCAGCCTGCAGGTCCTGGGGCAGTGCCAGCAGTGAGTCGTACACCTTGCACTGCATCTGGCCAGTGCTCTGGACCACACAGGACATCCACAGCCCCTCCCATACCATCTGGGCCACAACGATGCTGTTGCCCATGAAGGCGGTCACTTTCCACAGGGGCAGGGCACAGGACACCAGGGTGTTGACCCAGCCAAGCAGGGTCAGGACGATCCCCAAGATTTGCAAATCAGTAGAGGCCATGATGAGGTTGAGGGGGCGAGCTCAGTCAGCTTTGTCTGCCACTATGGAGTCTTTACATGGCTAAGGAATTTAACTTATTTCCTATCAGACCCACAAAGATGTAGAGTAGCTGAGACAATCACAACACAACATAAAGCAGAGGGTTGGTAGAAATAGCAAATATTTGTTTGACGGGCAAAATAGGGCCCACAGGTTCTAGTAACAGTTGCCCTGAAGACAAATAAAATAAACTCAAAACATTTGTTCAGTTCTCTGCTATAAAACCATTTTTCTCACTCCAGTAGATGTCAAAAATACTGCCCAATTGGAGTGAGAAAATTATACCTCTGGTAACCAGAAATCATCTGACTCTCAAAAATGGGATTTTTAGCATTCCCATTAGGCCTTTCAGTTTGGCTTATTAAGAGTAAATGGGCAGCTGAACAAGATTACCCATCCCTTATAGGAAGGAAAATAAAGTTAATTGTAAGAAAAACAGGCTGTTATATTCTTTATCATGCCTCCTAAACTCCCTTCTACAATCTCTACCTGAGGAATCAACACTTTGGGACCGTGATGGGCTCATTTTATTGTTTAAAATGTATTGCTGATTTATACATTAAATTGAAAAAGTCGTACAAGAAACCATTTGGTACAGAATTTGGAAAGTAGTGCAGGTAAAGACACTGTAAAATATGCCTTTTATTTTCTGTCCAATGATCATCAACACATCATGCTACATTTAAAAAACTCACCAGCCTTCAGAAAGTGGATACATGAGTATCTAAAGGATGTATGGGGGCTGAATCTACTGGCCCAGATAGCACAGGTTATAGGGTGATTTTTCTATACTTTAATCCTGGAGAATTTATGCCCTATGACATCATTTTCTTCTTTGTGAAGTTAGAAACATTACCAGATAGTACCTGAGGCAAACTCGTAACAGGTTTCCTGGCCTCTATATTTTATCTTTTGCCTTTCTTGAAAAATCTGTTCCTCTTCAATACGTCCAAGTACTTTTGATTCCTCTGCCCTTAATAAAATACTTCAATAGCTGCTATGAAAAAAAAAACTTATAATTTTACTGAACTCATGCCTTAAGCTTCATTCTTAATTGTGGAATAAATTATCCTATCAAAGGCATTTCAATCTCCACCTAGTAGAAAGGAAAATGCTCTTTAATGGAAATTCAGAAATCACAGCATGGAGTTACTAATTCCACTGCTTTGCTGGGGCACTTTGCTCTTCAGGGGTTTCCCTGCAATTTGCTGAGAAGGCTTAAGGGTGAACATGACATCTAATTTGCATAAGTATATGGTCTGAATACTATGCTCAACTTGACTGCAGTAAAGTTAGTTATTTCAGAGTAACATTCCCATTGATCATTTTTGTACTGGGATTTCAAATTGACTTTAGCGTGACTAAAGAGCACTGTGGTGCAGTTCACTGCCAATTCTCTGGTGAACCAGGCTTAGAAAGTGGAAGATTATGAGGAATTAAGGAAGAATACCAGGCTGGATAATACAGATTAGAGCCATAAAAATATGACATAAAGTGGAAAGATAAAAAGCAACACATGGTAACAACTACAGTATAAATCCACAAGCCAATATTTTAAAAGGGTGTGTTAATGTTCCAAAAGAGAGATACCATATAGTTTGCTACAGTTGGGTAGAAGATATTTAGAGAAAAGTCATGGTGGATTATGAAGATGGTATAAGTAGAATTTAGATTGCTGGTGGAACAATTGGAGCCCTTCCAGGAACAGAAAATAAAACAAGGCTGAAATAATATGCATGCTATGAGGAACAGAGAGTAGGGATGAAATAGTTTATAGATATATTAAAAACCACATGTAGGAAGTTAGTTTTGATATGGTAGGGCATTGGGAATCAGTAAATTTTATGCTAGAGTGAGTGGATAATGACATAAATTGCAAATGCACTTCAGTGTTTGGATTTTACTGTGTAACTGTCACTGTATTATGTGGTCATTTTCATTGTCAGCTTCCTCATGTGTCAGATCAGTTGCAGAGTCACGAGAAGATGTGAGGGTCACTGAAGAAGATATATGTGATGTTATCCTTTTCTTCCTTGCACTTTTCTCATCATTATCATCCTAAAATACATTCATTATTTTATTATTGTTGATACATGAAATTAATTCCACTATATATTTGCCACAACATACATAACTTTTGGATAGACCTTACTGAGCTAAGCAGAAGTGAAACAACAGACACATATGTCAAAAAGCTGGAAGTGAGTGGGCTCTGTGCTCTGATGGAGCCAAAACAGCAGTCAGAAAACTAAGTGCATCTATTGTATGCAGGTGAAAGAGGAGGCATGTTAGCCAATAATCATGTTTGAGGGAGGTGTCTCTCAACTGGAACAGTCTAAGGTTACAATTATCAGTGTTTGAAAGTTTCTGCATACAGTGGTTTTATTTAAAGATCAGGTGTTGTAACATTCATACTTGGACCAGAAAAAGGCTTTGCCATTCTTTTGAGTTTGACATGGGTTTGAGGCATTGGAGTCCTTGACATGCTGAGATTATGTCAAAAATCCAAATCAAAACTTAACGCAGGACTTTATTTGGTCCTTACAATATTTTATCTATTTATCTCATCTGAGAATTTGGATTTATATTATCTCCACTTGAATATGTGATGTTCTGTATGCTTTGAGTATTGGAATACTACAAAAATTATGTATCCTATTTACAGACCTAGCCATTTGATGTCTTATCAAGTGGAACTTTTGCTATGGCTATAATTTCTCAAAGAATCCAAACACTATGGTTTGAAAGTTAGAGCCTCAAAGAAAGGTCACATGTACAAAGAGCTGTTAAGGGTAGTAGCTATGCTTTCAGCTATCAGCAGTTACAAGTATCTCCTGGGTATGTTGAGTGGATTATGTACTAGGTGACTTCACATAGTATTGATGTATTGATGAAGATCAGTCCAGGGAGGGAGTTTCTTCATATAAGTAATTTTGCTGTACATGCTGAGAGAGAGAGAGAGAGAGAGAGAGAGAGAGAGAGAGAGAGAGAGAGGGAGAGAATCTCCAATTTTCATACGGATTACTTGTTTTCTGTGTCATTATTTTTAATTTTATATTTTGCTTATTATATGGCATTTTCTTATAGGTATATGCTGAAGGAAAATATATCCTATACTGTGTAGTGCTAATTATTATTCACAGTTTTAGACCTTCATTGGGGTTTTGGACATTTCTTAAATAGAAGATGGAGCGTACTGCATATTTATTTTTGATATCTGTGTTTCTAGAGTTTTAAAATCATTTGTTATTCAAAACGTGATAAATGGACCACTGATTTTCTTTCACAAGATGATAGTGTTAAAGGTCATTTAATGGTTATATATAAAGGACTGGATTCCAGATGTGGAGGAGAAAAAGGCCTTGATTATGGAATCAACATTGAAAATGAGTATTTCCATCAATAAACTTTCATCTATTCACCCATTCATTCACTAACTTAATGGGTGTTTATTAAGAAAAAGGCTTGTAGAGTTAGTGTAAACTTTTTATTATTTTATAAGATTATGAAAATTTATAGGATAATATTTGAATTTGAAACACTTAAGTCTTCTGATATGGGACAGGATATGAACTAAAACTGAACTGACAGGATGGAAAGAAAATTAAAGGCAAAGAAGAATGAAAATAAATATACAATTCACAAAACAAATACTGGACTTAGGCATAAGTAATATTATAATTCATGTGGAGCTTTGGATCAGAGTTGATAGTTTCAACCTGCGTATCATTAATAAACTAATACAATCTTGAGCAAGTTTTAACCTATCAAATGAAAATAATAGGAAAAATTATAATATGAAATTATTAAGCATTAAGTATTCTCATATATATGTATGTATTTCCTGTGTTCTGCATGCATTATACTATTTAAATAGAAGTTGATTTTTCTTAATAGTTGGGCTGACTTTTATTTATTTATTTATTTATTTATTTTTAAATACAGTGCCTCTCTGTGTAGATTTGGCTGTCCTGGAACTCACTCTGTATACCAGGCTGCCTTTGAACTCAAGAGATCTGCATGCCTCGTTCTCTGAAGTGCTGGACTAAATGTCTGTGCCACCTCACCAAGTCTTGGGCTGACTTTTTAGCCCATGGTCTCCAGAACCACCTGAAGGATGACAGGGACTACTATTTGGGAGAAAAAAAAATCAAATGTTCTTACACTACACATTGTTCCATTCAGTCAGGAGGGAGAGCAATACATACAGGAAGTTTATCTGGTGAACCCCTGACTCCTGCTCTCTACCTGTGGCAGCATTGGACTGGATGATGCTGAGGCTATGAACTGGCTTTAGCACATGAAAGACTCCAATGAAGAGTCTGCTCAACATCCCCTCCATATAGGCTTTAGTCATGAAGCTGCTCCTCTGCGAAATGGAGGAAAGAACTTGGGTCTTCAGCAACTGTGTGTTCCATACTTCATACCTGGCTGTCCTGCGGGGATGCTGAGAACAGCAACACCTACCTTGTCCCTCACTGTGACAGAGCTAGAGAACCCATCCTCCACCTCAGTCTAAGTAGAATTTATTGTCATTCAGTCCTATGGAGTTTGTGTGGGCATCACATTCTTTATTGTTTTGTTTCTGAAAATGGAAGCTCTCTTTTACGTAGAGATATTCATGTAAACATTTTTGCTTTTGTGTTATGTCTGGCTTCTTTTGGCCATGGTACTCTGATCTTTTTATTACATATTCTAACTCTTATAACAGTACTGTCACATTGTTATTTCTCTGTTATACTGGAATAGAAACAGGAATGTCCAATTTGATTGCTGTGAGATATTTGTGTCCCACCATAGATATGAAAGTAGACTCACACATTTGTAGATAATAATATCATATAGAATCAAACACAAAGTGTATATCCCTTGCTTTTCTGTTAAGTTTACTAGATTTCTCTTCCATGCAAAAAGTTGATTGGTTTAAAATATAATGTTCATTATTTCAAATACTCCTAAAA